GTGCACAATGCACACACAACGCACACACGCACACAATGCACACGTGCACACACACACGCACAATGCACACGTGCACACACGTGCACAATGCACACACGCACACACGTGCATAATGCACACGCGCGCACACACGCGCACACACATGCACACACATACGCACCCCACAAACCACACGTGCACACACATGTACACAGCCCAGAAACCACACACACACGTGCACACCACACATCACATACCCATGCACCGATGTACATACACACGCACACACGGATGTACACACTCACACGTGTATACACGTTCATGCCATCACTCACAGCCGCGCTCAGTCTCACAGCTGACACCCACGCACGTCCCCACAGGCGCATACTCGTGCCGGCCAGGGGCACCCCAGGCCAGCAGTGGTGAGGGCTGATGACCGGCTGCCCTGGGGGGCCCTCTTCTCTCCACGGCGTTGGCGTTGGCGCTGGCGTTGGCGTGGAGGACAGTGCCAGCACAGTGGCCTGGCCCCGTGGGACGCCCGCCGCTACGCGAAGTGCGGCGAGGGGCAAGGGAGATGGGGCCGTGGGGACAGGCAGTGAGCAGACGGGGGAGTGGGGGCCGTCCCAGGCGGGGGAGGCCCCGGGTCCCGCCCCGGCCCGACGCTGAGCACTTACAGATCGAAGACCAGGTAGTGGAAGCCCTCCTCTGAGATGCTGTCGTGCAGGCGCACTGTGGGGACAGGAGATGCGTGAGAGCTGGCAGAGCCCGGCACCGCGAGCCGGGGGCCCTGCAGGCCACCCGCCAGGAGCGTGTCCCCCGGGAGCGCCGACCCCCTTTCCTCCGCAGAGGGTGGCCCAGGGTGCCACTCGCACAGCTCAGCCGAGGCGAGGGGCAGGGACCCGGGCAGAGGACCCCTGCTCAGAGGCTGACCCGTGCCCAGCCGGGGCGGAGGGTCAGCGCGATGACCGTGGGCTGCGACTCTCACAGGGGCCTGGAACCACCCGTCCAGAGCCGGCGCTGGGGCTGATGGGGGCTGAGTCAGCGAAACCTCAGCCAAAGAAGGCAAGCCCAGTGCCCGTCCCCACGTGGCAGACGCTTCTGGACGGTTCGCCTGGACGCTGCCCCACGTGCCGCCTCTGCCGTGTGCGCCCGGGCGCTGTGCGGCCACACCGACCCCGCTGAGGCCACAGGGGAAACCGCCGCACGGAGGGTTGGGTGGGCCGCAGCCGCAGAGCACAGGGGACAGGGCCTCAGGCCCCAGCAGCATCGCGGCCGCTCTGCACGGGCTGAGAGCAGCGCCCAGTCCCAGGCCTGTGGCCCTCCTGGCACCCTCCTCACGGCCCTTGTTTCAAGCTGGCTTCAGCATCCTCCCACCGCCAGGCCGGGTCCCCCCAGGGGCAGTCACGGGGCCTTCTCCTCCCCATGCAGGAGACCCCGGCTTCCCGCGGACAGGGGTCCCTAACGCTGGGGTGCTGAGGGCCTCTTCCTGGGGGAGGCCTCCCTGCCCAGCCCCACAGGGCAGGTGACGGGGGTGGGGCCCCAGGCCGCCTGGCCCAGACGCTGGAGTCTGCGTGGGACTTGAGGCCGTGTGTGTGTGGACACTTTTTTAAAAAAGTATTTTTAACACTTAAAAAATAGTAGCATGTTATTGTAGTGGTTTAGAAGAAAACCTAGTGGCTCGTCAGCCGCAGTTCCACAGACAGGGCTAAGGAGAGAGTGAGTTGTTGTAGGCTTCAGATAAAAACAGTAAGTAAGTGACATGTGGGCGGCACGCACGTGGTCCCACGACGCCTGAGAGAGCCCGGCGGGGACGCTCCGGATGAGGACGCGACACCCTGTGCCGTGGGGCAGGCAGGTGCCTGGGATGCACCCTTCCCACTGCGGCGCGGCTCCTCCCAGGCCTGCACCCCGATTCCCAGGCCAGGGGGTCGCTCTCAGCCCCCAGCAGGAGGCTGGGGTCCCCTAACGTGATGCATGATCGACCGGCGGTGGAGCTGCAGGATGGTGGCGCTGGCTCTCAGCGCGTGGACGCTGGGAACCTTCTCCTCTCCCCGCCCTGCCCCGGTCTCTGCGGACAGCCCTTGGGGGCCCCTCCCTCCATGGTGCCCACCTGCCCGGCTCACAGGTGGGCCACCCAGTGAAGGAGGGTGGCCTAGCTCCAGAAACCTGGAGGTGGGGATCCACCATCACTGGGCCAGGCCCACGGAGGAGATGTGTGGTGTGCAGAGGCTGGGGGAGGTGCTGGGGGAGAGTGGGGGAGGCTGGGGAGGCTTGGGGGGCTGGAGGGGCTGGGGGCCCCTCTGAGTCGAGGCTGATGGGCTCTGCTAATCCCAACGCGGTGCTCGGCCCCATTAACAAGCCTGTGGAAGACACAGGGGGCCCGCTCTGCTCTCTCTGTCACCCCCGGGTCACTGGCGGCAGCCAGGGAGGTTGGGAACCCACTGGCCTGCTGAGCTCTCGAGGCCCTGGCTACAGCCCACCAGCGAGGTGATGGCGCAGGCCGCCTTGCCCATTGCTGTTCCAGCCCAGACCCCCCTGCACGGGACAGGTGGCCACAGACACACGCTAAACGGGGAATTCCAGGCTACGTGGAGGGGGCCACCTGAGGTCTCCTGGGGTGGTCGGGTACAACACAGACATGTGTGGAGGGCTCTGCAGGTCATGCCTGTCCCCACTGTCCCCGCACGAGCCACTGGTGACAGCGAGACACCCCCCAGACTAGGTCATAAAAAGGCGAGGCAGTTCCTTCAACACAGAGCTACCGCATGGCTCAGCAATTCCACTGCTGGGGACACAGAGGAACTGGGGGCGGGGGCGCCCAGACAGACACCTGGACACCCACGTTCACGGCAGCATTAGTCACAGTAGCCGCCAGGCAGAATAAGGCCTCATGGCCAATGACGAGTGAACAGATAAGCAAACTACGGCCCCCACACAAGGTCACCACTCAGTCCGAAGGGGGAGGGACCCTGCCGGGTGCCCCAGCGGGACGAGCCGCGAGGGCCCTGTCCCCTCAAGCCTCCTGGCTGCCGCCCAGCACGGGCGAGGCCTAAGTCCCGGGCCCAGGGCCCAGGGCCCCAGAGGTGGAAAAGGACACACGCGTTCTCCCCAGGGTGGTGGGCAGGGACTGTGAGCCGTGGGGGCCAGGGACAGGCAGGGGGGCCAGGCGGCCGGAGAGCCACAACGGCTTCTGGGGTCAGCACGGCCTGGGGTCCGAGCAGCTGCTACAACCGTACCACCCACGGAGCTGCCTGGGCTTTCGGAAGAGGGGGCTGACCATGGCAGATGGCCGTACCCTGAGGCTGCACGTGACCCAGGGGGCATCTGACTGTGTAGGATCTCCCCCAGACCACCGTTCTGGGGACCCGGGGCTGGTGGCGACAACAGAGATTCTGCAGAGCCAGACCTCAGACCTCAGGCCGGGGCTGTGCCTGGGGTGGTCTTTGGTTCCCGACCCAGTAGTGGGGGGTCTGCTGGCTTCTCTGGAGCCGCAGGAGGTTAAGGCCCCTTTGTGTTTCCACGATCATTACCGTGTGGGGTTTGGGGGTGGTGGGCAGGGACCCATCAGGCAAAGCCCGGCTTTGCTCTACCGCAGCGGCTGCCAGACCCCAAATTCCCACTAGGAAGGGAGCCGCTTCCGGGTGGAGGGAGGGGTTTCAACGTAGAAGGAAAAGGAAGCCTGTGGAGGCCCCACGCAGCACCCAGCACCCAGCACCCAGCACCCAGCACCCAGCACCTGAGGCCACTCACCAATATTGGAGTGCTTCAGAAGGCGGCAGATCCGAGCCTCTCTCTCCAGCTTCTGGTGATCTGGGGACAGAAAAAAACAGGTGTCACCTCTTCCCCAGCAGCCCATCACCTCCCATGCCCAGGGCTGCCCAGACCACCGGGTGCCAGAGAGGCCACCATCTCCAGACTCGCAGCCAGGAGGCCCCACTGGGCGCAGCTCCCGCCTGGGGGCAAGGGGTGTGTCTACAGGACCCACAGGAGAGCTGACTACGCAATTTATCAGCCAAAAATTGTATATTTCAAGCAAACAGAGGTGCCAGCACGATTGAAAAAGATGATGGAGATTATAATAGCAAAAAATGGGAAAAATCTACATTACTACAGACCAGAGCAGAAACAGATGAGGCTCCAGTCACAAAACAGGACACGGCCATTAGTGTGCACATCACTCAGCACCCCCGCACAGGGCTGATGAGAAATGTCACTCACAGAGAGAGCCCAACTGTGCTGCATCACACGCACATGCACGCCACTGAGCACACACATGTGCATGCACACGACACACATGCATGCACACGCGCCACTGAGCACACACATACATGCACACAAGCATGCAAGCACACATGGCACTGTACACACATATGCATGTACATGGCATGTACGCACTCACCACTGTGCACACACATATGCATGCACACGACACACACACCACTGAGCACACACATACCTGTACACAAGCATGCAAGCACACATGGCACTGTACACACATATGCACGTACACGACATGCACGCACACACGCACGCCACTGTGCAAAGGCTGGGAGGACCCGTGCAGCCCTGAACACGTACACACTTGCAAACATGCATGTGCCTCCCCTGGGTAGGGAAGTCACGCCTGGGGACACAATGGCTCTGGGAATGCCCAGGGCGTCCAGCTGGCTCTCCCTCCTCCCTCCTCCCTCCTCCCGGGACAGGCATCAGGCACTGCTTGCCTGGCAGCCATCTGTCCCTGGCACTGGAGGGCTCTGGGCCTGGGGCCCGGTCACCTCGCCGCCTGCCGGTGGCTTTCTCTTTCGTGGCGTTTTCTAAGTGTCTTGTTCCGAGTGTTTTCCAGACGCGGGGGGCGGCGAGCACAGTAACACGCACTCACGCGGCACGGTGTGCAGCCGCGGCCCTGCTGACCCGGCCCGCGCTCCCAGAATCCCTCCCCTTTTTAGTAAACCCAGTTAGGTCTTTTTTTCCCTCCTTTCTTTGGAGAAAGACCCTCTCCTTCAAACTTAGATAATTACCTCAAAACTGGTGTCACGTCCTCTGGCTATTGACAAGGACGACTGAAACTCAACGTCCTTAGCCCCTTACAGGACAGAAGTAGCTTTAAGCCCAAACAGGGCCTTGGAGTCTGAGAAGGGAGGCGGACCTTTTACCCGAGATTCTTTCTTATTTCTGAACCCCGCACTCCATGTCCTGGCCCTGGGCACACCTGTGCGTGTTCTGTGAGAACGAGGACCGTCTCAGCGTGGTCACCTCACACAGCAAACCCAACGCACACCCGGCCCTCGAACCCAGCCTATAGTCCAATCTTGCCACATGTCCCAGCAATGTCATCACTGGCCCCCCCCACGTGGGTAACAGCTGGGACCCCTCTCTGCGCGTGGACAGGGCCGGAGTGAGACCGAGGTCAGGGGCAGCTGGGAGAGTAAGGGGGTGATTCTCTTTCGAAAAACGGCCTGATTTTGGTCATAAATAAAAACCAGAAGAAAAATGCATATGGGAGCTTTTGGGGAGTAAATATCTTAAAGGGCAGTATTTTGTCACTGAAACCTGTCGCTGAACGTGAGTCCCGCCCAGAAGGCCTCCGCCTGCTCCTGCATGCGTCCGGGGGCCAGTGTGCACCCCACCACACAGGTCGCGACCCTCCTACCGTCACCAGACACCATGCCACGCAGGGGCGCACTGCATCTCCATGGTAACAGCGCTTCGCTCCGGGCTGCAGGGTCACGGGTGATTTTATTTTACTCTATATTTTCCCCCAACTCCGACGACAGATTTGTGTTACTTTTATAATTAGGCAAAGTGTTAATTTTAAGAAATAGTCTCACCCTGTCTCCAAAGGCCACGAATTAAATAAGAAAAGAGTGTGTCACAGAACCCACCACGGTGACATCCGCCCTGAAACCGGGGCTCTACGCTCATGTCACACGACACCGGGGCACGGGAGCCCCTCCCAGGACAGGCGTGTGGCATGTGGGGCTGGCTCCTGACTGTCGGCGTCGTGTGACGTCCTTTCTACAAACTCGGGGAGTTTCCTAAACGCCAAACCACGAACCCCACGACGCACATGGTTAGGTCTGTCAGCAGAACCCAGTCCAGCTCACCAGAAGTGCGTCCCAGCCCTAAATCACTGGCTGGCACCCGTCCCGCGGGCAGCAGGACGTGGGACAAGCTGTGGCCCAGGACACGCCCCTCGGAGCCGCCGTCAGCTCATCCTTGCTGGCCCCCGTGGGCCCTGTATGGACTCAGGCGCTGGAGAACACTGCCCACCCTCCCGGACCATCGGCCAGCACCGCCTCCCGGGGGCGGTCCCGAGTGTCCTCCTGAGTGGGCACACCTCGCCATGGCCAGGGCAGTGACGTGCAGGCTGATGGGCCGGGGACTGCCCCAGAGGGGGTTCCGCAGGCACCCGCCGGGGCAGCGGGCTGCAGGGCCGAGCGGCCGGGCCGGCCTTGAGCCCAGCAGGGTCCCAGGGCCCCAGGGGACACGGGTGCTGGGTCACACAGGGGGGCAGTGCAGGGAGCCTCGGGACAGCAGTCAGTGGCCCTGATGCTGCCGGCAGGGCACCCAAGGGGGCAGGGTGGGGATTTGGAGGAGCCGTCTGTGGGGAGAAAGGGTTCCGAGACTCCGCGCCCACGGCCCACACACGGCTTCCGGGCACGGAGCCCGAGGCCCAGGGCGGTGGCGCAAACGCACGGATCACTGACAGCCGCTCCTGCCTGCAGCTGGTGAAGGCGCAGGACCAGCTGCTCACGCCCCCCTCAAAACACCCCATGGAAACGCGCATGGAACCGAACCCCTTTACTCAAACACCAGCTAAACCCCACCTGCCACTCCCCACTGCACAGCCTGGCAAAGCGGGCGACTCCGCCAAGGTCTCCGCTGGGCGTCCCGAGATGGGGTCCCCAGGATGCAGAGAGGGGACCGGGAATGGAGGCGGCCCCAGGGAGCCCCGCACTCCCTCTGCTGGGTGCCCCCTCCCCCCCCACCATGAGGGGGATGGGCAGCAGAGACAAGCACTGCCTCTGGGGCTCCTGCAGCCCCCTGGCAGGGACCCCCAGGCGGGTCACTTTGGCTGGGTCAAGAAGGAAGAGAAGGCTGCAGAAGGCAGTGGGTGGGGTGGGGTGGGGGAGGCGGGCGCGGGCAGCGAGGCATGGTCAGTGGAGGAAATGAGGCC